CATTAAGTATGGTGTTAGTATAGTTTTTTTTTTTTCTTTATGAGACTGATTCTTTAAAAAAGTTGTTAATTGGTGTATATTAATTGCTTAATTATATTTCCATATATGCATATACTTTGATCAAATTCACCCCCTCTATTATTCTTTCATATCCCCCCTTTTTAAAACAATTTTTAATGGGTTCCATTATTATATTTTCAAACATGTATATGAAGTATTTCATTTTCAACACCCCCTACTTTACCTCTGCTTTCACCCCTCCTTCCCCACAAGAGTTTCCCCATTTTGCACTGGTGTCATTCTTTTATTTTTTAGGTCTAAATTCCACATACAAGGGAGACTAGGTTTTGCTAAGGTGCCCGGGTAGTCTCAAACTCCTGGGCTCACGCAGTCCTCCTTATCTCAGCCTACCAGGTACCTGGGATTACAGGCATGTACCACCATGTCTGGCTTTTCTTTTTGTAGATTTTTTTTAAAATCAAGTTGAAGTTCCTCTCTATTCCTAATTTATTTATAATACCATTGGTTTTTAAGGAATTCAAACAATATTGTTAAAAATAATACAGCGTTATGAAACATAAGCAAATTTATGAAGTTACCTTGCTGCTTTATTCCTCACGTCTGAACATTCTCCTTTTCCTTTTTCTCACATCTGTAGTTTTTAAGTAGAAATGACCTTAATTTGAATTGGTGTATCCATGAAAGTTCCTGCTTTAGATATCTTTCTGTGCTGTTTTTAGTTTGCTGACTTAACTTTCAGTTAAAGCTTGTGTTTGTTGTAAATTGAGTAAATTTACTGTCTAGTACCACCATGTCTGGCTTTTCTTTTTGTAGATTTTTTTTAAAATCAAGTTGAAGTTCCTCTCTATTCCTAATTTATTTATAATACCATTGGTTTTTAAGGAATTCAAACAATATTGTTAAAAATAATACAGCGTTATGAAACATAAGCAAATTTATGAAGTTACCTTGCTGCTTTATTCCTCACGTCTGAACATTCTCCTTTTTCCTTTTTCTCACATTCTGTAGTTTTTAAGTAGAAATGACCTTATTTGAATTGTGTGTATCCATGAAAGTTCCTGCTTTAGATATCTTTCTGTGCTGTTTTAGTTTGCTGACTTAACTTTCAGTTAAAGCTTGTGTTTGTTGTAAATTGAGTAAATTTACTGTCTAGTGAAGCTATAGAAAACTTTATCCTACACCACGTATAACTCAGTTATGCACATTAATGGCACAAAACAAATGGTAGATAATTTCAAAAATAATGATTTTAATTTTTACAACTGTTTTAAAAATGGTTATATCTGACCTATCAGGGAACCACTTCATGTAGTGTGATGGAAACTCATCAAGCAGACCTAATTCTGGAACAGTCAAGAAGACTCCAGCTTTCCTGTCCCATTGCTCATGTATTTCCTTGGTTACTGGTAGAAATAGGTAGCATCTGTTCTCAGATTGATGCAGAGTTGCTAGAGATAAGTTGATGTTTCTTTAGGTTTCTGATCTTCCTTTCTTAGAAGTCAGAGAAGCGAAGTATTTTGGCTTCAAGTACTGCTCTGCAGGTTTGAGTATGCAGTAATGTTCGTAACTAACAAACTGAAGGCAAGAATGAATTGTCTAGAGTAAGTACATGAGTTGAATATAAATACTTATATGTGTGGAATCCTCCTTCGTCAGCAATAAATTGAACTGTCCTTCTATGGTTCCACATTTGGAGGTCAAGCCTACCTCTCCTAAAATCACTATCAGTAAGGAAGGCTGTGTTTTAACTCTACGTGTTACAACTTGTCATAAGTTCTAAGTTAGTTTTGTAGTTTCCTGTCGAGATTGTTTGGAGGTACTAGCTCCAACTCATCTCTTCCTTGGATTCAATTCACTGTTCAAGGGCCTGTATAGCTGTTATTCCGCTGTCTCTGGCACTGCAGTCAGTCCACTCATTCCATGCTAGAAGAGCAGTCCTTTGTCAAGTGTCTTGTGCAGGCAGTTTCTTTTCTGGTTTTGAATGTTGGTAATATTATTAATCACTCAGAGACAGGTGTACCATGTTTTCCCATCCTGATTTTAGTTCTTTGTGTCATTTTATTGTCTTTTCTTATATCACTCTTTTCTTTCATAGACCATGTCTGTGATAAAACACTGAAATTTTTTTTTTAAAATCACCTCATATAATCAACAGTGGCTCAGAGGAACAATTAGAATGTTATATCATGTCTCTTGGCATAGTCACCAAAAACTGGAAAGTACTGAGTAATTGTGTTACATGTGCTTTCAGGGTTCTGCTTGCTTTAGCAATGTTTACATTCTATTACCTGTTAATATTTGTTTAAAAAAGGGGGAGCAATGGGGGGGATTTTGATCAAAGTACACTGATATGCATGTATGGAAATATTATAATGAAACCCCTCATATAATTAACATGTGCTAACAAAAAACACAAATGTTCCCCTACTCCCCCCAAAAATCTTAACATTTTCTTAATGTATTGGCAGATTTAGTTATTTTCAATATGTAATTATAAACAAAAATCATTGATATTACTGGCAACTGCTGTTACAAAACACAAAATTATAGTTTTACAATAATTGTTCTATGAATGTACAGTCACTTGAGTTTTTACTTCAAGCAAAAGTTTGGACAGTAATTACAGTATTAATGAGGGATTAGTGTACTATTTATTTGGATTATGTAACAGCCATACTACATCATAATATGGTTTTAATCTTGAAACAGGGATTATATGTTATGTACTGCATAAGCAGTACTATAGTTTGGAATTTGTTGAAATGTCATTATTCATAAGATGAAAAACTATAGTTCAAGCTCCTTAAGAAAAACTATAGTCCACACACTCTCTCAGTGCCTGGCACAATGTAGGTATTCAGTATGTGTGGATTGATTAACATGAAGGAAAACAAATATATTAATGGAAGTTCATTTTGGTTAGCCTACCTACCTTAATACTTAATATTTCTTTTATTATCCTAACTGGTCTCATTGTCTAATTACTGCCAGAAGTTAAAGTGCATTCTGCTAGCCAGTCAGCACAACAACCCTTGTCAAGAAAGATGGACCTGTTGCCTGATACATCCTCTTTTCCACACAAAGGTCTGAGGATTCCTGGTTTAGAACACATGAGCATGGAAGGACCAATAGCAGTAAGTAGAAGTCATTACTTATAAGAATTATGAGCAAGGTACCAGGAAGAAACAGTGTAAACAGCCAGTGCAGTTGGCTTTTGTCTTTTTGACCTTGAATACAAACTTTTTTTTGAGACAGTGTTACTATGTATCCAGGTTGGCCTTGAACTCTCACTCCTCCTGTCTTAGCCTCCTGAGTGATGAGATTATGGGCGTGTTCTACCACATCCAGCTTGAATTCCAACTTATAATTGAATCTTACTGAGGCAAGAAGGTATCTTTGCCATTTGTTTTGTGAACTGAATTTAGATAGTTTGTCTTATTTGACCCAGAATCTGTCAGCACTTGGCACAGAAGAGCTGCGGCAACGAGAACACTACCTCAAGCAGAAGAGAGATAAGTTGATGTCCATGAGAAAGGATTTAAGGACTAAGCAGACCCACAGTATGGAGCAGCAAGGAGAATCTACTGGGGAGGTAGAGGTATGGCTGAACTTAATATGTCAGAGTTTGCAAATCCAAAAGTGTAATTCTCAAAATCCATGTATGTGCAAGAAAGACTGTAATGGACTTTGGTCATAGATATGTTCATATTAACCACCCTGCTGGTGCAAAAAACTATTAGGCCCTTTCTAGGAAGAGAGAGTCGTGATGAGGATTTTTAAGTAAAACAATAGTAGTTTCATTATACACCTTTTGTTTCTCTACCTGCCTTCCTCTGAGTTCATAAGGGTCAGCAGTCTATTTTGTGTGAGCCATCCAAAGTGTTTAAAATGTACCCCGACTCCATCCTCTGTGGGTCTTTCCCAAGAAGAGCTTTTACAAAGAGATTTAGGGAATCTAGTTTAAGTCTGGCTCTTTTTAATTCCTGAAAATGACCTTAATCTTTGTTCTTTTGAGGCAGTATGTGGGGAATTTTAGACACATAAACCCATTTTATACTGTAGCCAATTCTTTTCTCTCTCTTTTTTTTTTTTTTTTTTTAAGGAAATGACAGAGAAACCAGAAATGACAGCAGAGGAGAAGCAGACATTACTAAAGAGGCGATTGCTTGCAGAGAAACTTAAAGAAGAAGTTATTAATAAGTAATAATTAAAAAGTCAATAAAACAGAAGTCCACATTTTCTTAAAAATAAATTATTTAATCCATAAACTATTGGTTTCAAGTAAATACTTTTTGTAAATGCAAATATAAGCTCAATATTATTTTAAACATTTGAGGTAAAGGGCAGTAGGGAAGGTAGCTACATACACCAGTTAGTTTAATACAAATTTGTGGATGCCTTCTCAGAGAGGGTCTGGAAGGAAACTATTTGGTAGCACATTCCTTCATTCTAACTTGATACTTCCTGTTTATGCTAGGCATTACACTGTGCGTTAAGGACGAGGTAGTCACCTAGATTGACAGGGTCCCTGCTCTCACATAGCTAGTGTAGAAGGGCCAAAGAGCAGTGTTAGAAAGGAAAAGTGCCACAGAAGGAAAAGTGCTGATTGGAAGAAGATGGAAGGAATAACTTAGGTCCTGCAGCAGAAGTAAAGTACACATTGAGGGGCTAGAGTGCATACTGAATGAGTGGAGAGGGTTAGCCTATGAAATTGGAGGTAGGTGGGGATTCTGATCACGCAGAGCCTTGTAGGGATTATGGGCAAATGAGAAGTTATGATCAAAATTATTTTCAAAGATGTGTGTTTCCATATGGAGATTAGTGGGTGGCCAGAGTAGTCATGGTTTTCCAGGTGTGAGGGAATCCAATCAAAGGAGTAGATAATTCTGGTCAGTGCTAAGATGGATTTTACACTGACCATTTACATTTCAGGCAGGATAAAAAGGACTTGGAAAATAGATGTGGGGAATGTTCAAAATACTCATTTGCTACTGTCTTTATTCTATAAAAACTATTATGAAAACAAAGAACTGACTGAACATGCAGAGGGAAATCCTACTGCTTTTGTAACACCTTGTATTAGTTTTCTGTAGTTTACTTATGTAAAGATAACTAGAAGAGACCATCCTTCAAAAACTTTGTGATATGCCATGTCTACCCTTTTCTAATTTATAGGACACTCCTGAGGTTAAATTTATAATTCCATTTTATCTCCTTAATCTAAAAGTATAAACCACCAAAAGTAGCTTAATAAAATTTGCAAACTGTAGGTACCGTTCCAACCTGCAGAAAGAGTATTCTGTATGTTAAGTTTCATCCTAAAGAGAAACTAGTGATTGAAACAGAAATGTTTCACAAACTTTTAAAAAATAGCTTTTATATCAGATACATGTTTACAGATTTTTTAAGAGGACCTAAGGCATACAAATGTGGGCTCTGCCTTGCTTCATTGAGTATTTTGAACTTTTATGTATGATGTGAAATGAGGGTCAACGTTCATCTATCTTTCTGCATGTGAATATGTTTCCCAGCACTGTTGGACTGTCCTTGGCACCTTTCGAGCATCAATTAAGCATAAGGATTTATTTCTGGATTCTCAACTGTTACACTATGTCTATACCTCCTGTACCTCTGCCTTACCACATTGTCTTGACAGTTGTAGCTTTGTAATAAATTTGGTGATCCTCTCCCTCTGCAAAAAAAAATCAACAAAACACTCTGACCTATGTGTGCCACAGCTAGATGGGTACCAAGTGGCCTACCTTAATGGGAGCCTGAGATTAGAGGATTGAGGTTTGAGGACAGCTCAGGCTAATAAATTTGATAGACCCCCATCTCCAAAATAACCAGAGCAAAAATGGACTGGAGGCATGGTGTAAGTGGTAGAGTGCCTGCTTTCCATGAGTGAAGCCCTGAGTTCAAACTCCAGTACCACCACCACCAAAAAAAAAAAAACAAAAAAAAAAAAACAACACTACTATAGTTGTGCTTTCAAGGTTATTACTATGGGTAAGGATATGCACAATGAGAATCATCTGTACTTGAAGACATTTCACATTTCTGTAAGAAAAGTTTTCTGTGGTGATCATTTAAAAGTTCAAGAATTAAGACAGTTCTTCAGAAAATTAGGGACGTCTTCATAAGGTCTGATGATAATACTTCCTGCTGGAATAAGTTACTTAAGAAGTCAAAAGTAGAGAAATGTTTTAGGCCTAGGCTGCTTAGTTTATAAGAGGTTTAGTAAGAGCTGAAAAAGGCTTGATAAAATCTGCTTGAAAGCGTATTCATGTGGTAACTTTATTGAGCTAGATTCTATGTTATGAGGTAGAGGGTTTTTATTATGTGGACACTTTTAGTCAGAGGTGAGAGAAGCTTTGGTGCTGAGATTTTATTTTTTTTTTGCTCAGTGATATTTTAAGTGCAGCTGGCCCTTTGGTCTTTCACATTGGTGTTATGGCCTAGTGGTTTCTAATAAGTACAAATATTTATGGGTAATTTTATTGGCTTTTAAAAGATAATATAAAATGGACATCTCAAAATGGAGTTAAATTTGTAAGAAAACACAAGCATCAATCATGGAATTACAGGGTCACATTTTAATTCCTGAATTTTACAGTTCAGCATTAATATCACCACATGTATACAAATGGTGTGAAACAAGTACAGTGGTATTTTTAATACAAAATAAACATCTGTTTTATGGAAAAACTATACTTCATATCTACACAGACAGCCCATCTTTTCCAAACAATAGCCAAAATTAAAATTAACTACAAAATCTCCAAAACAGGGGAACTGCTTCAGTTTAAGCTATTCCAGGAAAAATGGACCCGTAACACATTACAAAAAGTGATCTAAAGACTGTAGCTGGAATTACTATTTTTAGATTTCTCCCAATGTATTAAATTGTAGTTGGGGATATTTTTCTCATCTTAGCATGATCTCAGATCATAAGATGAGCAAACTAACATTAAAATATTTACAGTTAACTTGTTCTAAAAATAAAACTTAACTGTTTGCCTCAATTTATTATTTTAAATTCATTTACGTACATGGAATGTGCTTTTATTGTTTAAAAAAAAAGCAGCTTTCATATTACACCTTGTTTATGGAAAAGCTTTGTGTACTGCATGTGACTGTAACACTTAAGTAACTTCTTGGATCAAAATGGCTTCTAGGTATTAAATGGCATTTAATTCAGCACTATTTATTAGACTTTATAAATTATACTTTAAAACTTGCCTGCAGCTCTGAAAAGACATAACTTTACTAACAAAGCAGAAAGTGACTTCAAAGTATCTTCCACTAAAGACTGTACTGCTAGATGGTTGGAAATTTTCTGTTCTATCCAACTAGCAAGTATCCAAAAAGAATCATGGAGTACTACTGCACTATCTCTTGTTATCACTAAAAGTGCTGATTTTATAGTTGTATTAACAAAGATACCCATTTTGAATCCAGCTTGATTTTGTCAAAATACACACTGAAAATTCCTGGTGTAGAAAACTCAATGTGTGCTATTACACAGGGTGTATGTCCCTCCAAATACCCACAAAACTGAATTTCTGTGAAATTTTCAAAGAAATGGTCCCAACAACTTCATTTTTAATGGTAGTTCAGTGTTTTTCATAAAAATTTCTTTTAAAAAGAGGCAACTGATTAAAACAACATGGCCAGCACCATTATGTTTTGGGTTTGCAACTGAAGTTTTGTAATTTTTTGGATAGCCCCCTGGAGCAACCCTGCATTAATATTATTCCATCAACTTTTCCCTCCCCCAAAAAACTGTCCCAAAACCTGAGACTTTCCTTACTGAGAAGCTATCTCCCAGGTTCCCATAACTAACATTTTTTTTTTTTTTTTTGACAGCCTGAAAGGCAAACCCCTTAATTACTAGCAAGCAATCAAGATCCTGGGAAGCCTGTTTTTTTGTTTTTGTTTTTTTTTTAACAGAACTAAACTCTCCTAGCTGATACACTGAGTGTCTTTGCTACTCCTGTATATTTATAAGTTCAAGTGAGAAAGCGTTCTGATTCAGATTTTCAGCTCATTGAACAGCTGCAGCATTTTAGTAAGACCACATGTTGGGGTCCCCCAAGCAAATATTTTATGAGCCAAGGCGAGGTCTTTTCCTGGGGGATGTTTCTTCCTCTTCGTCTTCCTCTTCATCATCTGGATAATCCACTAAGCCAACCAAACTCCCCTATTGAAGAATGAAAAAAATGTTTTGAACACATGTAACGTAAAAAAACAAAAAACCAGGTCATTAGTACAAGTAGTCACTGAAAGATTAGAAACCATTTTTTCTGAATCATGTATCTGAAATTAACATAAGCAACTACTTGAATTGAACATGTACTGTGTACTAATTGGTGGTATTCAAAGCACCCCTCAACTTTTCTATTGTTTCTTTATTTTTAATGAAACCTTACAGCAAAATCTTGCTTTGGGAAAAAACTGTTTTTCTTTTTTTCCAACTAGCAGGACTAACGATCATAACATGGAAGCTGTCCTGAAGATAAACTAGTTCATTTCTCTAACTTTATATAAAAACAAGTCTCCTTGTATTCTGTCTTCATGTATGTATCACTAAGTATGTATTGTTTTCATTCTGTTTTTGAGAATAGTTTAAATGGCTGAACATAATAAACACATGAAATGGCTTCTAAAAACTAGTAACTAAAAGGATGAAGTAATTCAGTTTGGGCCTTTTATGAGTAATGGACCCCTTTGAAAGTCATATTAAAGTTCTGGGCACTCTACAGAAAACTGCAGATGTCCGCAGGTTTGCATTCATTTTGAATCAATCTTACGAAGTTTACACGATGTCCTACGGGTTAGGAGGGCTACTGTAAATACTATGTTTAGTTCAAACACTTCAGACCTCTACAAATGAACAAATGTAACTGAAGTAACTCATTTCTTCATACCTAAAAAACCCAGGCATCTGGCATTAACACAGCCAGAATATAAGAGTTAGTATGGCTAAAGAATATATTGATTGTAGTCTGACTTCAAGTTAGTACCAATACTTTTTATCTAAATGACCTTGGGAAAGTGATTTAATATCTCCATATCTGTTTCTTCATCTGAGAAGTTGGTGTATTAGTTGTACTTAGATCTTACTGAAATATTTTGAAAATTAGATTTAAAAACAATAGATGTAAAAACACTTTGCACAGTACTTGGTATGTAGAGTTCAATAACTGCTATTAGATGCCATTGCTGTTATTATTTCTTTTATTTAGTTTCTAAGTCACAGAGATTTGAAGAAAAGAGTAAGAAGAAATAATTGCAGTATATAAAGGCATCAATCTATATTCATAAAGATGACTGAGTTACCAATAATAGTTTAAATTATGCTTAAGATTTTATATAGTGTACAAACACTTCAGTCCCAAGTAGTTGAACACATGATTTTTTGACTCAAGATTGACAAGCTGTCCATAAAACCCACTTACACAATTAAATTTTTAATTTTATTTATATTTTCTAATATATACATCATGAATATACATTTTAAAACCCATGTTTACAATAAAAATACAAAATGTAAAATGTTGGAAGTTAAAAGGCTTGTATTCTAGATACACTAGATTCCAAACTTGTTATATCAGATTTTAGTTATACCTACCCTTACACAATCAAATTCACTTAAAAATATACTGTAGAAAGCTTTCAATGTTAGTACATAAAGCTCCATTTCATTCTTTTAAGACTTTTGTATTCTGTGGAATAAGTCAATGTTCAAAGGGGCTTCTTGATGTATCCCAGCTGTAAATATACTTTAACTTTGGTCAGTTCAACCCCATTACTTACTTACCCCTTCCCTCCCATCCCCCATTATTCAACAGTTTTCAGTACATATCATTATGTCCTCTACCTGTAGAGACATAATGCATTTCAATATTGCTGCTGGCTATCATTTTCTTTTCCTTTCCTTCCTTCCTCAAGTGCCATAGAATAGTTCCACTATTACAAACTTTTTCTACATACAAATTTGTATATAATCATGTTTAGTTTATCTTTTGAATCTTCCACATATGAGAGAAAACATGCAGCCTTTGTCTTTCTGAACCTGGCTAACTTAACATGATGTCGTAAATTGCATCCATTTACCTTCAGACCACATAGTTTCATTCTTCCTTCTCCCTGCATAAAACTCCTGTCTTCCCATATTTACCACCCAGTATTTTGATGCCTTGGTTATCTGGTGCATTCTGGAGTTCTTAAAGATAAATTAGTTTCTCATTTCTTTATCCTCTTGAAAATACTTAAGTTTTTGCTTTCTTCCTATTATATCTCATATAATACCTTCCCTCATCTTTTCCAAAAATGTCTTGGCAGCTTTCATCTGCTAGTTTTTCCCTCTCCCATTTTCTTTTTCAGTTTACTTTTATTTCACTAAAAAGCAAAGGTACAGTTAAGAAAAAGTTAAGGCAGTGAAAATAAGTTGTATTTTATCTGTCTTCCAACTGCTTGACTCATTGTGAGCTGTCCTCTAACTTACAAATATAATGCTTTTTTTTAAAAAAAACTAGTGTTTAGGAAAAACTGCAGGTGGATTTATAGTAGGTACAATCCTTAACTTCACATATTTTATCCATATGACATTCCATGTACAAAAAATGGTTCTTGATGATCAGTTTCATTAAAAAGAAAAATTACCAGAAAAAGTTTTTAAAGAGAATACCCTGAGGAAATGATCCATAATTGTCCAACAGAGAATTTAAGTGTATGATTATATACTTATTCCACAGAATACAAAATATATTTAATATTTGACACACACACACACACACACACACACACACACAGAGTACCTATTTTACAGTCCTTTCATACACTTAAATTCTCTGTTGGACAG